ATTTAAAGAGTTAGGGTTTAAATTTTTTGAGTTTTATATTTTATCATATTAGAATATAGAGTTTTTAGGTTATATATTTTATAATGTTAAGGTTTAAATTTTTTTCAAATTTAGTGTTTAATGTGTTGTGGTTTATATTTTTAAAGTTTAAGGTTTAAGGTTTAATATTTAAAAATTTATATATTTAATAATTTAAAATTAAAAAATATAGAACCAAAAAGTAAAATTTAAAATTTTAGATTTAAAAAGAAAAATAAGAAAAACTATAGGGACCAATCGGCTTGAAGACCGATCGGTCCCCGTAACATTATCCGGAAAAAAAAAGAGTTTGATGATTTTTATAAAGATGCATGTTAAAGGAGTATTAATTATATTTTATAATTAATTTTATAAAAAATAAAAATTAATTCTAAATTTATTAATTATTTAATTCAAATCAATTAAATGATATTAATGTTAGAAATAATATCTTATTTTTATTTTTTATAAAAATTTGTTGTAAATAATATAATTAATATATTTTAATATGTGATATACAAACATTAATTAAATAAACCTAAAATAATATTATAAAGAGATTAAATTATAATTAATAAATGTTCCCTCCTTCTCATTCATTAAGAATATTCGTCCTGTTATACCCAAAACTGATATTTTTTTTCTTTTAGATGCGAATGGTCTGTAAAAGCCTTTTTGTATTAATATTCTTCCTCCATAGTATAATATTTAAATTACTAACAATTATTCAAATTTAGAAGAAAAAATAAATGTATGTTCGGTTCGACTTTCATAGAGATCATTTTTTACAACACAAGTTGAAACTTTCTGCAATGTAACTTCTATTGCTTCTCGTACTCTTGGCTTTTTACCCTTTATCCCGTCTGATAAAGGGAAAAAAACAACCATTTCAGAGCAACGGATGGAGGGATCCAGCAGCAGCCACACAGCCCACTTCCCACAGCCCACACTTCTAGCTGTAAAGTCGGCCTGCCATGTAGCATTAATGTACCTTCAAAGTTCCATTATATCTATATGTTTCATCTAGCTGGAAAGTTGCCTACAATGATCGGTACAGTAAATAACAATTTGAAATAAAGGGATCGACACGACAAGTTGGTACTTGATAGACTCTTATAGTCATAGGTTAATTTGGAAATCTTAATTTGACTAAAGGTCAGATAGTTAAATTTTTGCATTACTAAATATGCAATTAATTTCTAACTTACTAAAAATATAATTACCATGCATTTTTTCTGGTACCACACCATAGGATTACTCATGAAAATTGGGAAAAATTCTTTTTCAAATTAGAGGGTTTTTTATCAGGTGATGTCAATAATTTCTAACAAAATGTTTTTTAGTGTAAAGACGTGCCATCTTCTTATTAGCAACGGAATATTAATCATGTAAAAACTTTTTTTATTTAATAGAAACTGATGACAGAGAGCTCTGCTACCACTAATTTATCATAATAGACATAATTGAGGAAAAGGTGCAGAGCAGACACACGAGAGCTCAGCATCATAGGGTTCTTCTTCTTTAACAGTCTCGATCCAACCAGGTTAGGTCAACTCATCAGTCTCAAAATTTTGGGTAGGAAAATTTTCTTTTCTAACACATAAGCCAAGGTACCCACCATGGAAATCGGTTTCTTGAAATGATTTTTTAAAGACAACCATATCTAAACAGGTACTTTAGGAAGATAACATGAGGAAGCACAGCATCGTAATATGAGCTAGTCCAATTTTTTTATTTGATTTCATTAATATGAGCAAGTCCAATTAATGGAAAATTAAACTGCTCTGCTCATGGGCCTTATGTGCAAGAAAAACGTAATGCTAGCACTAAGATCGATATTGTGATTATTATTATTATTTTTTATTTTGATTGTATAATAAAAGATAATTATTTTTCATCTCTTATCTCACCCTATTCGCATATGATACGATTCGAATTTAAAATCTTTTACTTCTAACGAAAAGAAATGACCACTAAATTATTTAGGTCGTTAACGATATTATGATTGTTTTGAATCATGAAATTTGAAACTAAATGAAACTATATTTATGGGTGAATTGATCTTTAGATCCGTAAATCTCTCCAAGAAGCTCTGAAATAACAAAATGCATGATGCCTTACGATTACCAGTCTAATACTCTTAAATGAATCAATACTTTAATTAGTAAATGTTAATTTGGATCTAATCTCAATGTAACATGGATCCCACGTCCCAGCCCCAAATGCCACAAACTTTTGTTAAAGTGAGGATCACCTTCTGTGAACATGTGTTTAAACCTCACATATCTCATTCCTCATTTTCCTAAATTGCTCTATTAAAAAAAAATGTCAATGTAACATGTTATAAGTTGCCTTGTTTCGAGATATCTAGTTGTCTCTTCTTCCACACTCATCCTTAATTATTTGTTACTCAATTATGGAATTCAAACTGCCTCTAACGACTAATTAGTTTAAAGGTAATATTCTTTTCAATAAATTTTAAAAAAAAATCTAAGTTTGAATTGTCAATGTATAGACATGTAAATATGGTGACTAATGAGATGAGAAATAATTGCAAGTCACTATCAAAAATGAATGTTATGGAGCTCAAGCCAAAAAAGAAAAAGAAATATGGAGCGATTTATTATTCATAATAATTTTTATTACATTATAAAAATAAATAAAATTACAGTTTTACGATTCAAATTATTGGATTTTAGAGTCAAGACCTTTGAATAAGGGGACAGTGGCAAAGTACCTCGGTGCCAGCAGTCCTCTGCGACCATGTCAAGCCAGAGAATGGCTCTGAAGTGATTGGGTGCGGGAGAAGAAAATAAGAAGGATGTGAGCTAAGTAAACGGAGTTCCATAATCGATGCAGGGCACATGACTAAGCACATAAATCGGACTCATAATTAAGGCTATTGTCCTTAAGTCATTTGGACTTGGAGAATTCTCTTAATATCTCTCCATGTCAAGTTTTTTATTCCAAATTTAAAACATGCTGGCGTTAATTGTATAAATCAATAATAATACTAGGAGTAAATGTTAATTAAATAAATCTGTTTCTAAGTTTTATAGCCATGGTCTATAAAAGTCAGTGACCCTCTCTTGAAAGTGAGAGGAGAATTTGTAAGTAGGTGAAATGGGGAGGACACCCTGTTGCTTGAAGGAAGGGCTGAACAGAGGAGCCTGGAGTGCTGTTGAGGATCAGATTCTCATAGATTACATCAAAACTCATGGTGAAGGCAAATGGGGAAGCATTCCCAAAAAAGCTGGTAAGTCAAAGTGATTTCCATACTAGAATATTTCAGAAATGCACAGAGAGAAAGTGATTTCTAAGCTGTTTTGCCATTCTGGTGCAGGCTTAAAGAGATGTGGAAAGAGTTGCAGACTTAGGTGGTTGAACTACTTGAGGCCTGATATAAAGAGGGGTAATATTTCTCCAGAGGAAGAGGATCTCATCATCAGGCTCCACAAGCTCTTAGGCAACAGGTCGGTTGCTTCCCATTCTTCATTTATCCTCATTATGAGATTGCAAACAAAATTATTCTAGTTTCCCGAATTCGATTTGCAGGTGGTCTTTAATAGCAGGGAGACTTCCAGGCCGAACAGATAATGAAATTAAAAATTACTGGAATTCAACTTTGTCCAAGAAATTGAGTGGTAGCGATCAACATCAAAAGCAACCTAAAGGCGCTCAAATGGTCAAGAAAAATGAGATTAAATCATCATCACCAGCTGAAACCAGGGCGATTAAGACAAAGGCATTGAAGTTGTGCAAGCTTTCAGACACGCAGCAACCTTACAAGGTAGCGGCTGATGCTTTCCTACATCCTCAGACGGTGCAACATGTCGAAGTGGGGGAGCAGAAGAGTGATGAATCTCTGTATACGCAAAACCTGGGGCTGGAATTTGATGTTGGGGAGCTTATGGCATCTGATATGATCTCGGATTCAGAGTTTTGGAAGTTGTGTGACCAGTTTGACAATAGCACGGACCAAGAAGCTAGTAGCAGTAGCAATGGCCTTGCCAAGAGCAAACGCCATGTTTTGGGGCAGTATCCCCAGTTTACAGAGGAAATGCTAACGGATTGGATAAGATGAGATGATAGTAGTTTCAATCTGACAGAGAAGTTCTGATGTAACAAAATTAACTGTGTGAAACTGTGACCCTGCCATGCTTGTAGCTTAAAATAAAAGGAAATTGAATACTGGAGTTTTGCATTGTTGCATTTCTCTTACATTCATCTATACTTGTTAGTGCTGTTTCTGCGTTTCACCGTCAGGTCTCTGTATTCTTGGGTTCTTATTATTTTTTTCTTTTAGTAAAGTGGGAAAATCTTGCATCCAAATAAAAATAAAACATGCGTATCTTAAAGATAAAAAATGATTATTTTATCTATTAATAATTAATTTTAAATTAAATGCTCATTTTGTGGTTTTATCTGCATGTTAAATTTTCATATTTACTATTGTCCATTAATATTTCAGCTGAGATGATTTATTTGGTGTCTATTTGACATTTCTTTTGGTAGAGCATTTCTATTCCAAAAGTAAAGTCAGACATAATTTGTTCAAACTTGTTTTAATTGACTATTAGCTACAAATTTGTAACCTTAGAAACATTACTTTCACATTTAAACTTCTAAAATTCTAAAATTATTTATGAATGATTTTATATAATTTTATAATTTTGCATTATTTTAAAAACTTGAATAAAAAAAAACGTTTATTTAAAAATTATCTATTTAAGTAGGAAGGAAAATTATTAGTCTATTTTACTATTCAACACACTTATTATCACCTATTAATTTAACTACTAAACTTTGTATTTAAAAGTTTTCTTTGCCTTAAATTTAAATTTAAAAATAATAATTTTTTAATAAATATATTGAAGAGTACATCAAATCATGATGTGTATTAATCATTATTTAAATATAAAATAATCATTAAACAAAAAAACTCCAATTACGAACGTATTTTTCCTACATAGTTATCATAATAGAAGGCGTTACAAATACTATTTTAATGTAATATTAATATAAATCGTTACAATAAAAAATGTTGCAAAAAAGTAATTTTTTTTAGTAGGTAGAAACTGCTTGATCAATTTTTCCCACCTTCCCAGTGACGGCATTAACTAATCTATGAAGAAGCTTCTTCGTTCCTCCTCGTGTTTTTGCAGGACAATTTGATTGTTAATAAAGTCAAATCTGAAATGCATGTGACCTCGGATTCCCAATGGTCGGCCACTCAACTTTTTTTCCAGTTCTTCCTATTTAGTTGATGACTTTCCTTCCATAGTTTTGCTGAATTTATTATCCTTTTTTCAGGAAAAAGAAAAACCATACTATATATTTTTCTTGTGATTTCATTTTAAATATGTATAGAATAATATAATAATTGATATTAATT